GAACCTGAGAGGGGGCGTGAAGGATTAAGAAAAGACAGACAAGAGAATAAAAGCTAGGTCTCGGTGGGACGCTTCCTCTCTGATAAAGAGACAGTGACAGCGCCCACAAGCCATGTCTTTATTTTATAGCCAGATTTCCACCAGGCAAAGTGAGGGTGTGGTCAAGATGTTTACAACATTCTCGTGAGTTTTGAGCCTACTCAATTACATGCACCTGAACTCTATCAAGCTCACTTCACTCAGGCAAGTGGGGACACGTGTTCAGATAATAGGTTCAAGCTCACAACCCTAGCTATTGGCTATAATTATGCTGGGAGGGCTATGCCTGCCAGCTGGGACTTGCACGTTACCATGAGAGGACTGTGCCCTCTCCTTAGTCCGAGGCTTGAACCTGTCCAAACACTGTAGCCGCTCTCCACAATGAGGCCCATCACCCCAAGGGAGACCCAATCCCCATGGAGGCTCCCCTTTGTAACTGCGTCTCTGCAGGCAGCCATATATCAGAGAGGGGGGACAGGACAGTTCGTGGGGACAGGGGCCACATCTTCAAATGTCTGGCTCAGCTCTGCATTCAGCAGGTGCCAAGGCCAGGGCGTCATGCTGGGTGGGTAAGGACAGGAAAGGGCAGAGTCTTACCCTGAGCGCTGAAGGCCAGACTGAGAGGAGTGAGAGGACCGGGAACACCAGCATGGCTCCGAGGAGGCATCACAGGACTTGGACCATGGGGTCAGGGTTGACAGACTTGGAGAACACTTCAGGGGAGGCTGTAGAGTGGAGAGCTCAGGTGTAGGTAGAGGAAAGGGAACGGAGGAGAATCTTCTGTTCCTATAGGCTTCAGGGCTTCATGAGGAGAGGGATTCCAGGGCTGTTGCATGGCTGTGCTACCTGCCCAGTCGCTCAGACCAGCCCCACCTTTCACTGTCCTGAAAGTCATAATAAATTTTGATCAAGGGGCTTCACATTTTCTTTCTCCTTTTTATTGATTGATTGATTTTGAGAGAGAGAGAGAGAGAGAGAGAGAGAGAGAGAGAGAGAGATCTGCTGTTCTACCCATTACCTCCTGCATGTGCCCTGACCAGGGATTAAACCCACAATCTGGGTGCACCAGGATGATACGCCAACCAACTGATTACCTGGCCTGGGCAGGGCCTCACATGTTCATTTTACAGCAGGCCACCATACCTTACACACACACACACACACACACACACACACACACACACACACACACAAAGTATGCAGCCAGCCCTGGAAGAGAAATTCTGTTTCCCAAGGACCCTGCTAACCCCAATGCTCTCTAGTTCATTCTCCAGGCAGGTCAACTTCCGCCTCCCCTTCCCTTCCAGCCTCCAGGCCCTCTCCTACCTGCTCCGTGTGGCCTGAGTCTTTCAGCCATTGCCTTTGTGCTCAGTCATCATCCCGCCACATGCACTACCAGTGGGACCTCAAATGCTCTGCCCTGAGCAGGATTCCGTCCTGGAGGGGTGCTCAGTGTTTGTGTTCCTATCCACAGGTACCTCAAAAAAGTCAGCCCCATGGGACATAGGAAGAGCCAATGAGGGTTAAGGAGAACAGTCGCATTGACCAACGAAGGCAAAGAATGGTCCAACGCCAAGGGGTGTTTGCAGAGCCCTGGGCATGTGAGGAGGAAAATAGCAAACAGGTCCTGCCTGGGATGACCCCCAAGGGATTGGAGACACAGAAGCAACTGTCCAGAGCAGAAGGCCAGCCACTGAGAATGTTTGAGACAAGCCCTGTCCTTTTCTCCTTTGGGTGAATTGGCTTATGTTCTCTTTAGATTCCGGACTTAAAAGATCTGTTCTGCCAAAACCAGTTTGGTCTGCGGACTGAAAGGTCCCAGGTTTGATTAACATTGGTTGCGGGCACATCCCCAGTAGCTGGTTTGCAGGAGGCAGCTGGTTGATGTTTCTCTCTCATCGATGTTTCTAACTCTATCCCTCTCTCTCCCTTTCTGTAAAAAAATCAATAATATATAAATATTTTTAAAAAATCTGTTCTGCTGCCCTGTCCTAGGACTTTCAATAAGGCCACTAATGGAGCACGCACGTGGACCAGGCCTCCCAACCTTTATGGCTTTGTCTACTCCTTCTAAAGTTAGATCATGTTATCTCTATAGACTTTTGATATTCAACTGCATTCTCTCTGAATTTTCCTGTATTTTTTTTAAATAAACCTTTATTGTTCATATTATTACAAAAGTTCCTCATTTTGTTTCCCCTCCACAAGGTTCCTACCCCAACCTCTGCCCTTTCTCCACCCCACATTGTCCTCATCCATAGGTGCACAGTTTATGTTCAGTCTCTTCCCACACCCCTCACTCCTCTTTTCCTTGAGAATCATCAGTCCACTCCCCTTCCATACCTCTGATTCTATTATATTCAACAGTTAATATTGTTCATCAGGTTTTTAATTCCCTTGGTTTTTAGATTCACTTGTTGATAGTTATGTATTTGTAGTTCATAATTTTTATCTTTATTTTCTTTCTCTTCCTAAAGAACCCCCTTTAACCCCCCTAAACCATAATTCATATAATTATGGTTTGTCGGTGATGAACTTCTTTACTTTTTTATTTTTATTTTATTAGTGAAGCTCTTTATCTGGCCTTCGATTCTGAGTGATAGCTTTGCTGAGTAGAGTATTTTTGGCTGTAGGTTCTGGCTATTCATCACCATGAATATTTCTTGCCATTCCTGTCTGACCTGCATGGTTTCTGCTGAGAAATCGGCTGACAATCATATGGATGCTCCTTTATAGGTGACTACCTGTTTCTCTTTTGCTGCTTTTAATATTCTCTCTTTGTCTTTTGTTCTTGGAATTTTAATTATGATGTGTCTTGGTGTGGTCCTCTTTGAATTTCTTTTTTTGGGGTTCTGTGCGCTTCCTGGACTTGTAGGTCTAATTCTTTCACCAGGTGGGGGAAGTTTTCTGTCATTATTTCTTTCAATATGTTTTCAGTATCTTGCTCTCTCTCTTCCTTTTTGAAAATTTCATATAAAGGAAGTTATATATGATATATCCTCTTTTGTGTCCGAATTTTTTTTATTCAACATTATCATTTTGAGATTCACCTATGTTATCTCAGTTATTTCAGTAGTGTGTGCCTTTTTTTTTTTTTTTCATCCTCACCCAAAGGTATTTTCAACATTGATTTCAAGAGAGAGGGAGAAGAAGGGGAGAGGGAGATAGAGAGACACATCAACTGGTTGCCTCCTACATGCACACCTATTGGGACTGGGGAAACCTGCAACCAAGGTATATGCCCTTGACCAGGAATTGAACCCGAAACCCTTCATTCTGCAAGTGAATCTCCTAACCCAGTGATCTGCAAACTCATTAGTCAACAGAGCCAAATATCAACAACACAATGATCAAAATTTCTTTTGAGAGCCAAATTTTTAAAACTTAAACTATATAGCTAGGTACATTGTTATTATCTTAATTTGGGTACTCCTTAGCTGGTCTTTGCTAAAAACTCAAGGGGCTATTTCACTGACCTAGAAAGAACTCTCCAAAAATTCATTTGGAACAATAAAAGACCCCGAATAGCCACAACAATCCTGAGAAAGAACAGTAAAGTAGGAGGGATCTCAATACCAGATTTCAAGCTGTATTACAAAGCCACTGTTCTCAAAACAGCCTGGTACTGGCACAAGAACAGACATATAGATCAATGGAATAGAATAGAGAATCCAGATATCAACCCCAATCACTATGCTCAATTAATATTTGACAAAGGAGGCAGGAACATACAATGGAGTCAAGACAGTCTCTTCAATAAATGGTGTTGGGAAAATTGGACAGACACATGCAAAAGAATGAAACTAGATCACCAACTTACACTATACACAAAAATAAACTCAAAATGGATACTGGTGCAACCTGGGCCTGTGACTTGATGAGGAATCAAACCAGCAAACCTCGGGTGCATGGGGCAATGCCCAACCAACTGAGCCACCCTGACCAGGGTATCAGCCCCTATCTTGATTACTATGACCCGATGGCTCTTCCAAAAGGTTGGGGAGGCCCTGTGGACAGCCATGGTTCCAGCCCTCACACACAGCCGAGACCTGCTGCACCAGCAAGGTCCCCAGAACCCTGGGAAGGAACCTCTTACCTCCAGATGAAGTCTGAGCCCTTGGCCTGGCCCCAGGCCCTCTCGCTCAGGAGGGCTGGCCTGGCGGCTCACCTCTTCCCAATCCTCTGTGCCTCCTGTCATGTCACATTTATTTATTTATTTATTTATTTATTTATTTATTTTTATATTTTTCAGATATTTTTTATTTCTTCAAATTCATTATCAAAAGTGACTGAAATAAAAATATAATTGAGTCCCATCATCATCATGGAAATGGCTTTAAGAGAAAACTGGTCAGATGAATATTATTGCTTCCCATTTTCAACCAGTAAAATCGTTGCCCCTGATAAACAGACAACCAAAAGTCTGTCAAGAATGCTCAAGAGATGGTACATGATATAACATGCCAGTTCACAGGGTCTGGGGCAGGGAAGATTAGGAAATAATTTATGTAAACTTCTCGATTTCTTCACACGAGACAAGCACCACCTATGCCTCTGAGAACATGGGGCCATGCACCCTTGAAAAAAGCTTTGCCTCCTTCATCACGAGCAATCTTCCTCCAGCAGTCAAGTGTGCCTGTGTACATGAATCAGTTCCTTTGAGCCCTGATTGCATCTTCATGCGGCAACAAACAAAATCAAATGGATAGGAAATCAACCCAGCCACAGCTGTGATGGACTGGGCCATCATCCAGCTGATGAAGATGTGAGTGTTCTTGGGATCTGGAAGCATTCCCTCTGCAGTATCATAGACACCGAAGTAGGCAGCTCGGTAGATGATAATACCCTGTACCGACACATTAAAGCTTTGGTATAGGCCTCTAAGCTCGTCAGATTTGTAGATCTTAACCAGGCAGTCACCGAGGCCTTTGAATTCCCTTTCAGCTCCGGCTTTACTCACATCAGCTGCTAGAGATGGGTATGGGCCAAATCAAGAGGATACACAAAACACAAGGAGGCAGCCCCAGCGGCATCACCTGATGCCAGATTCCCTGCAAAGTATCGCCAAGACTGGGCTCTCTTGTCCACACCACCAGGAAGATTTGCTTGTATTTATCTTTGAAGGCAAAGTGGAGAGTCTGGGTGGGGAAGTGTCTGATGACATTGGCCAGGTCACCATGCCAGAAGGACAGGGCTCCTTGCTCCTTGGGGATACGGACCACACAGTCTGTAATGCCCTTGTATTGCTTATCTGCAGTGATTTGCTTGGTGGTATTCTGCACCTGCAGCAGCAGTTTGACCTGCTCGATGGGTGCTACCGTGGTCTTGGAGATGGCTGCGGCCACTCCATCTGCCAGGAAGTCCTTGGCAAAGGCCACGGCGGCATCTGTCATGCTGAAAAGAAGAAGCGGCAAGTACAGGCCTGGGACCGTAACTGGCTTGAACTCCGGGGCTCTCCTGTCATGTCACCTTTGCTGTTCGTCTCCCCACACCCCGTCAAGGCTGTTTCACCCCTAGCTACTCTCAGACTTGGCACCAAGGGAAGATCACAGACACCTTCCAAGTGACAGACCCTGGGAGGCCAACCCCTTGAACCAGACACACAGAACACGATTGTCCTGTCCGGCTCTCCGGGAGGGTACTTGCCCTGGACTCCTGAAAGCCCAAGGGACCATGGGCTCTGCCCAGAGCTGAATGAGGCCCTCAACCCAACTGTGCACAAGGCAGGAGCCCTGAGCCCATGAACCTTCTGAAGACATTCCACCTGTGGCCCCTCGTGGGGCTGAATCCTGTCCAGCCAACGTGGAAAGGGCTGTCAGCAAGCTCCCCACACCTCTGAAGTCAAGGTCTAGTTCAGGTGCTCAGAGGTGACAGCACAATCCTCGACCCGGTCCCGCTTTGTTTGCCTAGGCTCCGGGGCCAAGACAACAAACACGGCAGGTTCATCCGGGAGCCTCCCCCAGGAACAGCCCCCACCGGTCTGTCTTCAGGGTGTCCCCTACTCCTCCTCCCTTCTGGATGGGGGCCCACATGGCTTTGGGTATAAAAAGCCCGGTGGAGGGTGCCCAGGTGCAAGACTCCCAGGTGCCAGGACCAGGTGACAAGACTTTCCTGGCCAGGTAGGGCGGTGCTCCCCTTCTGTAAATGGGGCTGATGGGGTCAGGCAGGGCCCCTCTCTGAGCACCTGGTGGCCTCTTCCCTCTTTTCCAAGAGCCTTAGGACTCAGGAGCCGAAAACCATGCTGCTGTGGCTGACCCTCACTGTCCTGTGGAGCACTCCCTGCTGGGCATATCGTAAGTCTGGCTGGGTCTGCCTCCCTCCCAGCCACCCCCTGGGCCTGGGCTCAGCCCTAGACTGACTCTAGTCTCAGAACTGTCCCCTTGGCCTGGAGGGGCTTCATCAGTTCTGCAAAAAGATAACCGATATGGTACCGTGTCATTTTCTCTCCCTCCCCTCACCTGGTTCTTTCGTCCATCTAGAGATGTATGGATATGCAACAGGCACGTACTTCAGCTCCACTCCAGACAATACAAATGACATATCTGGGATCCGGGTGTCTGTCAGTCCTATAGGCATAATTAAGAGGTGAGTCGGGGCAGGGCACAGGGTCCGATCTCTGTCCTAACACGTGTCACGGTCTTGGGAACTTGGGGAGGGGGGCTTAGCAACTCTTCTCCAATACTTTCCCGGGTCTCCTGAGGACTCCCCAAGGCCAGTTTGGAGTCACACAGCCACCAGCCATCACCTTTTGTCTTGTCCCTTTTCCTCAGCCACCTCCTCTCCTGCACACCCGTCCCACTTCCCTCTGTCTCCACCTGCAAGTGCAGACACTGCTTCTTGGGTTGATCTCAAAAAAGGGATAAATAATGCTTCTCCCTCCTTGCTCCTTTCAACCCAAACTCAACTCAACCAAAAGCAGCCTTTCAGTCTGAGAATGCCTGATGGGAACATGAGGGGGGAGGTTTGGGTCAAAGAGGAAGGAAGTGAGGGTCAGAGTGGACCACTGCTTGAACACAATTCTCCAGACCCCGTTGAGGCAGAAAGCCCAGGCCCATTACCCTAATGTTAGGGTGGTGTCCTTGCTTGAAGCCTGGGGGAAATCTTTACTCTCCACTGAAGGGGTTCCGGGGACCTGGGAGAGAGGATGGTGGAGGGCAGCCAGGAGTGAAGGGACAGAGTATGGGGCCAGGAGCGGTGGAGGAGGAGGCTCTTGGACAGGCATGAAGGTGTGCAGAAGGACTCAGACAGACTCAGATGAGCAAAGCTGGTGGGATTCCCCCAGGGGGGTGTGAGAAGTCACTTGCTTCTCAGGCCTGCAACCTGACCTATTGGGAGTGATTGGAATCACTCAGAAAAGCCAAGCGTGGCTGGGGAACAGCTCCCTGCTCTGAGCAAGGGTGACAGCTGTCGCCGCCTGAGGGTCATGGTGACCCGGCGTTTTGCAGAGCTCTCCTTACGGGTGACCTCAATGCCAGCTCCCAACAACCACCCCCACGCTGCTGATGGGGATGCTGAGGCCCGGAAAGCTGGCCAACAAGCCCAAGACCACAGAGCCCGAAAGCAGCAGAGCGGCTTGTCTGCCTCATGATCCCCAAGTCCTGGGCTCTGGGTCCTGTGTCGCAGGGATGGGGCTGTTCTCGTTGCTGGTGGCTGGGGGGAGGGGTGTGTGAAGGATAGAGGACCTGGGGGAGATGTGGCAGCCCGAATCCAGAGTGCTCAAAGCTCCTCCTTTCTTCCAGTGTCCAGCTGAGATATGGATCCAACTGGGGCAGAATGTATGGCGTCCCAGGTGGGTGGGCCACGGAATTCCTCCTGGGGCCAGATGAATACATTGTAGGGCTGGTCGGCTCACACAGGATCTACATCCGCTACCTGGTTGTCTATAGCAACTTGGGGCGCTCGGCCCCATTCGGGATGGAAAGTGGCTACTCCTTCAGGGCCTCCCCAAGCGACCCCGGCAAGATACTCACAGGACTCTTCGGCCAGACCCAGGCCCTTGGCATCACGGGCATCGGTTTTATGTGGGACTATCCCCTTGTTGATCAGCCCCCTACACCATCAAACAAAACTCGCTGAATCAGCAAGGTCTCGGCTTGGCCCTAATCAGGGCATATACAAGATTCAGCCAATGAATGCATAAATAAGTTGAACAACAAATCTCTCTCTCTCTCTCTCTGTCTCTCTCTCTCTCTCTCTCTCTGTAATTAATAAAAAAAAATTTTTTTAAAGAACAACTAGCTGAAACTGGTTTGTCTCAGTGGATAGAGTGTTGGCGTGCAGACTGAAGGGTCCTGGGTTTGATTCCTGTCAAGGGTATGTGCCTTGGTTGCGGGCACATCCCCAGTAGGGGGTGTGCAGGAGGCAGCTGATCAATGTTTCTCTCTCATCGATATTTCTAACTCTCTATCCCTCTCTCTTCCTCTCTGTAAAAAGTCAATAAAATATATTTTTAAAAATAAAAAATAATAAAGAGCACAACTAAATAATGTCAAAAAAAATGAGTATCCCGGGTCCCCAGGGATGGGGGCATGGGTCACCCTGTTGAGGCTGTCGGACTGGTGGCAGCCCTGGGATAGCCAAGATGGATGCTGAATCAGAATCCCCCAAATAAAGCTCCCGCTGCAGGAACAGTGCGTCCAGGTGCGGTCCTGGGTCTGGTGTACCCCCAAGCCCTCTGAGCTCGTGGGGAATCTGGCCTCCTGGTTAGAGCTCAGCGAACGGAGCTGCAGGATGACACAGGAGGTGGGTCTGACACACCAGGCCCCGGCGATTCTGCTGAGGGTGCGGGACCAGTCCTGGGCTGATTCCACAATTTTAGAGGATTCTGAGCTTCAGCGATGCCCCCCAGCCTTGCTCGCCACCCTGAGCCCAGCCGGCAGGCCTCTGCTGGCCCAGGTCAGGACTAGGCTTCTCTGAGTGTACTGGCCTCAGGGGAGCCACTCACTCACTCACTCACTCACTCACTGGGCACATATTCGCCAAGCCCTCGCCCATGCCAGGCTCTCCTGGGTGTAAAGAAGAAGAGACCAGCTGTTCAGGGGAGAGGCCCCTCGTGGGGGTGGAGGCAGTCACTGGAGCAGACGGTGGCGGTTGGCTGTGGCATCTGTGTTGAAGGGGATCGTGCAGGGCATGGTACCTGGGCCCCTTCCCAGAGGTGGGGAGGGGGGATGTGCTTCGGGGAAGCTGTTATAGTGGCCCTCCTGGACCTAAGGATGAGTATCTTTCTGTGAGCATACTGCCCACTCGCACATCTTCCTTCCTGAAACCTCACCCCAAACAGCCTAGCTGTTTGAATTTTTATATGGAACTCCTTCCTCTGGCTGTTATTTTGGAGCATCGGGTGAAGAGAGGATCTAATTAGTGAGTCACTGACAACTCAGCGCTGGACTCCTTCCAACTTTGACGCCAAGGGAGACAAAACCTCTGCCCAAACTGTGCGAGACCAAAACATGGCTGTTCGCAATCCAGGCTCACACCTGGAAGCAGTTTCTCTCTGGCCTTTCTTGCTGGCCAGCATACCAAAATCTTAATGTCCACTTCCAGGTCACCTTCACTACATTTCCCAGGGGGAGTGGGAACTGGAGCTTGGGAAGGGGCCCATGTTCCTACTTATCATATTTTTCACCTCAACATGGTACCTCCCTTTCCATTTCTGTATAATTTGCCTGTTATATTTTCACATACATTTGGGGGAGGAGGATAAGTAAGACATTGCATTTATATTTTACAGCAACAATATAATGAACAGTAAAGGAATAACAGGACATACACTCTGATACTAATATACTCTGATACTGGTACTAATGTATGTATATTCTGTCAGAGTATTATATATAAAGTTGATCACCAGTTCCTCAAAAACTTTCCAAATCGTGTTGAGACAGGATCATTCTGTCAGATGGACTGGATTTGTTTTCTTTTCTTTTTTTAATATATTTTATTGATTGTTTTTACAGAGAGGAAGAGAGAGGGATAGAGAATTAAAACATCGATGTGAGAAAAACATTGATCAGCTGCCTCTTGCACTATCCCCTATTGGGGATATGCCCACAACCAAGGTACATGTCTTTGACCGGAATCAAACCTGGGACCCTTGAGTCCACAGGCCAATGCTCTATCCACTGAGCCAAACTGGTTTTGGCTGGATTTGTTTTCCAAGGCAGCCCAGCAGTAGCAGAGAAGGGCATTTCCAAACATACCCAACATCTGGAACGCTGGGCCCAAGAGTCACTTCATCAGCCCATCTCTCAAAGCTGCCAGCCTGCACAGGACTTAGGAGAAGATGACAAATGTGTAGCAGGCACCAACAGAGGCGGATCAGCACAGAGGGGAGCACACAGGCTGTGCTCTATCCTGTGTAAGGAGAGTGGCTGGCTCAGGGGGTCTCCCTGGC